AAAAGAATGCCGAAATGGGCAAGAACAGTACAATACCCCCCCCCCCCCCATCGTGGTGACACCAGAAATGGGGTTTCGAAGTTATTCATCCATGGCCATCTCTTAGAATCCCAATGACAATGCCATGACGTTGATGACGAGGAAATAAATAATCTGCATTTTGTTATTGACGGTGATGGCGACTTCGTCTACAAGATCGGACAAGAATGATGGATCACACTGTTGCATCCTAATACGATTACCGACTTCGAGCCAAAACTGTATTAGTGTGATCAGAAGTTCGGACAAAACAGGGGATGATACAGACAAAGATCCGATTAACCAATCTATAGCAATCGATTCACTATAGGTGGGTTCGCCGCAATCAGATCCATCATACCAATCGAAGAATCTAACATTGAAAATGTTCTTCACAAGAACGAACACGAGAAATCGTAAGAAATACTCACACGAAACGCTGGAGAAGGGAACCTAGGCGCGTCGACGATGGCCTTCAGGATGGTCTCCTCCTCGTTGCCGACGCAATGGGATCGGCCCTGGACCACGACCTGCGGGGTGAACATGGTGTCCAATCTCAGCGCCTCCACGTACGCCTTTTGCCTCACCGTCCATTGGCTCGATCCGTACGGATCCTTCCATCCCATGTAGTCCCAATAATCGACGTGGAAAACCAGCATAACCACCGGAGAAGGTGATCCAGATCCGCCGCCTATCTGGCCGTCGAAATCTCCACGGCCCAGCCGCGACACCATCATCTCCGCCTCCGGCGAGGTCTTACATCCCTGCGACGAGAATAGCTGGACCAGCACCGGTCCGTCTCCGGAGGGAACATCGGCAGAGACGACGGCGGCGGAGTTGTTTCCGGCGGATGATTTACCGGTGGACGTGGCAGATCCTCTGCCGCCGAAGCAGGCGAAAAGACGACGCGCCATCGGAGAAATGACCGTCTCTTCGCCTTACCGGAGAACTCGGCGGAGCTTGTCGGAATACGGAGACTGAATCGTAGGAAAGGGAAAGGGAGAAACAGATTACGAGACGAAATTCAAAGATGTTTCCCCGAGAAAACGAGAGAAACCGAAGGAACACTGTAATATTCAGAGGAAGAGAGAGAAAGATGATGCCGGGGGTGGAGAGAGAAAGACGGCGAAGTTGTCTTTAGCCATTTTGTTTTTTGAAAAAATAAATAATCAAAAATTAAAATCGGCCTTCGGTGTCAGAAGCTGTAATTTCCCCTTTAAAAAAGAAAGATTTTTGGAATTTCGGGTTTAGGTTTCATGTTGCTTTTGCTAGATAACAAAAAAATTATATGCACTATTTTCTTCTCAAACTAAATTTTAAATAATTATAAAACTATTTATCAATTAGTTGGATATTTTGTAATTTTCGGAAAGTTTATTTTATAAAGTTGGAATTATACAATAATATTTAATGGCGGCAGAAACATCAAACAAATAAAATAAATAGTTGAAAAAAAAGGGTGTTTGCTTAGGGAATAGGGAAGAATCGGTGACACGTCGAGCCGAATAACCACTCCCACCTCCCATAAATTCATATATATATATATATATGAGAGATTATATAAATATTCTTCATGGATTAATGAATGTAGGAAACTCATTTATATTTTGATTAATTATTTTGTTTTTGTGGTAGAGGTGTAAGGTCCCATTCGTATTTAAACGAGTTATAAAATGTTCAACCCGACCGACCTTGGTTAACAGTTAAAATAACTTAAAGAAAGAAAAAACATCATTTTAATCTTAAATATCTTTTTTTTTAACATCTATATCAATATTTTTAAATATAAACAAACATTTAAAGATTTGATTTTTGTTTTCTGAATCTAATTTTTTTAACACTCTTTATTAACAACTCTAAAAATTGCAGAGACGCAGAGAAAAGGACGAAGAAGAAGTTCTCTCTTGTATTTTCTATATGTATTATTTCTGTACACAAGTATCGTATATATAGTCTTTGTCCTCTACATACAATTTGTGTGTGTAAAGAAGCAGAATATATCACTATCGTACGTTGTTGCGCCGTTCCTCCCTTGTAAATGTCAGACTGTTATGTCTGTACTTCCCCTTTGCTCCTCTGATCTTTTGTCTGGTAAATCATCAAAAGTATCACGTGCTTTATCCTCCAACAACCCCCCTCAAGTCGAGAGCTCCGGTTAGGAAGATAGAGACTTGAAACCTTCAATCGAAGCAATAACTGATGAAACAGAGCTGTTGATAACGGCTTGGTCATGAGATCAGCTAATTGGCATTCAGACTTGACATGCATCAGATGTAAACGTCCAGATTTAACTTGATCACGAACCAGATGACTGTCTAACTCAATATGTTTCGTGCGTTCATGAAACATAGAGTTAGACGCAATATGAAGAGCAGACTTGTTGTCGCAAAACAAGTTGATTGGATGAAGAGGTGATATATGCAAATCAGTAAGAAGATGCTCCAACCAAATGATCTCGCAGGTTGCATTTGCCATGGCCCGGTATTCGGCCTCGGTGCTGCTACGGAAAATTGTATGTTGCTTCTTTGCTCGCCAAGACACAAGCGAAGAACCAAGGAAGATGCAAAAACCAGAGATTGAGCGACGTGAATCGGGGCACGACGTCCAATCAGCATCGGCAAAGGCTGTAAGGCGAAAATCATAGACAGAACCATAAAACAACCCTTGAGCTGGATTCCCTTTCAGATAACGAAGAACCCGGTATGCAGTTTTCAGATGCAGATCTGTGGGATTATGAACAAACTGACTTAGTTTGTTTACCGCAAAAGAAATGTCAGGTCGAGTTACTGTCAAATAGAGTAAACGACCAATAAGATTGCGATAAGTCGTCGGTTCAGATAAAAGCATTCCAGAAGTGCTGCTTAGACGAGCATTTGTTTCCATGGGAATGGAAACAGGTTTGCAACCTGTGTAACCAGTATCAGGCAACAACTCAAGACAGTATTTCCTTTGACAGATTGCGATGCCATCATGATTTCGTGCGATCTCCAAACCAAGAAAGTATCGGAGAGAGCCTAAATCACGAACAGAAAAGTGTGAACTCAGCAAATCCTTCAAAGCCGACGAAGCAGAGTCAGAGTTGCTTGCAATCAGAATGTCATCAACGTATACCAACAATGCAACAGAAACAGAGCCCTCGTGTTTGGTAAAGAGAGTATGATCAGCTTGCGATTGAACAAAACCGTGTTGAAGAAGGACAGAGGAAAACTTAGTGTACCACTGACGTGAGGCTTGTTTAAGCCCATAGAGAGATTTCCGAAGACGACAAACTGCTCGAGGTGGCAATGTGATGTCGGATGGCGGAGTATAGCCAGGTGGTAACTTCATGAAAAGCTCCTCATCGAGATCACCATGAAGAAAGGCGTTTGATATGTCAAGCTGCGATAAACTCCAAACTTTCGCAGCAGCTAGAGCAATGAGTAATCGAACTGTAGCAAGCTTCGCAACCGGAGAAAATGTGTCGAGATAATCAAGGCCTTCCTGTTGAGTAAAACCGCGAGCTACAAGTCGAGCTTTGTAGCGAGATACAGTACCATCAGCATGACGTTTGACTTTAAAAACCCATTTGCAATCTATCGGACGATGAGTAGATGGCAATGACTCAATGGACCAAGTGCCATTTTGAGTTAAAGCTGTAATCTCTTCGTTCATTGCCTGTTGCCAAAGAGGATCTTTAATAGCATCCTTGAAAGACTTTGGCTCGACAGCAGTGTCCAGATTCTTGATGAAATTCACATAATGAGGTGCAATGTGTTGATAAGACAACATGGATGACATAGGATAAGGAGTTGAATGCACCTTGTGGTGAGCTGAGGAGCAGTAATAATCCGATAAGTATCCAGGACGCCGAGTGTTTCGATGAGGACGAAGATGTTTCGGTTCAGTAATGGCAGAATCCAAAGTCGGCAGAGAAACAGAGACTGAAACATCCTGAGCATCAGATGAAGGAGATGAAGAAACTGATCGAATAACTGGATCTGCAATATCAGGCATTGGATTGGGTAAGACAGTCTGTGGAAAAATGTCGTCATTAGGAGATGTAGGAGAAGCAACATCTGTCTTGAAAGGAAAAACATCTTCCCGAAAAAGAACGTGTCGTGAAATGTGGATTTGATTCGTATCTAAATCCAGGACTGTGTAACCTTTGTATCCAGCTGGGTAACCGAGAAACACTGAAGCACTTGCTCGCGCAGAGAACTTGTGATGAGTATGTTCATGAGTGGAGCGATAACATAAGCATCCAAAGGTGCGGAGATGAGTGTAATCTGGGATCTTTCCATACACAACTTCATAAGGGGATTTGTTCTGAAGCAGTGGAGTAGGTGTTCGGTTGATCAAATATACTGCTGTGCGAACACAAGAACTCCAGTAAATCAGGGGAACGTTGGACTGAAACAGCATTGCCCGAGAAACATTCAGAATATGCTGATGTTTTCGTTCGACGACGGAATTTTGTTGCGGTGTATATGCGCAGGAGAAATAATGAAGGATACCCTTTTCCTTGCAAAGTTCCGAAAATGCTAGCTCTTTAGCGTTATCGGAGCGAACAGATTTTACAGATAGCTTGAACTGAGTTTCGATCATCTTCAGAAATTCTGGAAAGACCTTTAGAACATCAGACTTATGATATAGGAAATAAATCCAGGTTGCACGAGATGCATCGTCAACTATCGTCAGAAAATACTTGTATCCTTCGAAAGACGGAAAAGAGAATGGTCCCCAAACGTCAATGTGGATAAGATCAAATATGTTTGCAGCAATATGATTGTGCGATACAAACGGCAAATGTTTCTGCTTTGCCAAATGGCATACAGGGCAATAAGGCAAAGTAGAACACTTAGGGAATCGTAAAATATCAGATAAAGTCTGCATCATCTCAAGTGATGGATGACCAAGTCTCGTATGCCACAAGGATGCATCAGTCACTGTCGAATTGCAGAAAGCAGTAGAGATGTTTCCAAGCTTGAAGGTTTGATCCAGCACATAGAGATTCTGATCCAGATCCGCTTTACCAGTCATCCAGCCCTGAATAAAATCCTGGATGAAGCAAGTGGTTGGTGTGAATGTGATAGAGTAAGGTGATCCCTTGAGCAGAGCTGAAACACTGATCAGATTGAATGCAAAGGAGGGTATATACAAGACATCAAATAAAACAATGAAGGCATTCAAAAACACAGTTTCCATTACAGAGATCACAACTCGTTGTCCATTGGGCAGAGTTACTTGAATCGGATCCCCTGTCTTCATATCAGAAAAGAGTTTTTCATTTGAACAAACATGAACAGAGGCACCAGAGTCCAAAATCCATGTAGTCTTATCAAAAACTCTGGCTGAAGCAACAGGAGAACAACCAAGATTAGAAAGAAGATTACCAGAGGAAGATGAGGCAGAGGAATCTGGGGCTCCTTGTTCAGTAATCTGAGGACCAGAGACATTCAACTTGTCGTTGAGCTGAGCATAGAGAGATCGGATCTGATCAGGAGTGTAGTTGTCAATGCTCAGGGCCTGTGAGGAGGCAACAGATGATGGCACCGAAGCTATGATCCCCTTTCCAGAGGAAGCAGTGTTGGAGACCTGACCTTGGAAGGATCCATTGACCTTAAAGTTCTGGACATGAGTTGCGGTGGAGAAAGATTTCTGCTGCTGAGACAGGGGACTCTTAGAGCGTGGGTTGTTACGAGAAATCTGTCCGGCAGGAGATTTGAAACCCGGAGGATAACCGTGAAGCTTGTAAGAGCGAACAATGGTATGTCCAGAACCCCCACAGTGAGTACAGTAAGGGCGTGAGCGACCACGAACAGAAGCACCTTGAAAAGCAGCCACAGAGAAACTACCCAGATCTGGAGTAGTCGAAGTCTGGAAGACATGAGAGTCATGGGTAGTAGGAGAACGTAGGAGACGTTGTTGTTCATGTTGCACGATCAAACTGAACGCTCGTTCCAGATCCGGAAGAGGTTCCAACATCAGGATCTGTCCTCGGATCACTTCATATGCATCACTCAAACCAAACAGAAAGTCAATCACAAAGTTGCATTCAAAGAACGAGTTCCATTTCTGGTCAACGTTGCACTTGCAAAGACCGCACTCACAGTGAGGGGTCACCTGAATGGATTTTACTTCCTCACGGAGAGTGAATAGCTTAGTGTAAAAAGTGGTAACATCCATGTTACCTTGGCGAAGCGTCTGGAGATGCTGCTTGATCCGATAGAGGCGAGGAGTGTTGTTTTGTTGAAATCTCTTGGTGAGATTTAACCACATCTCCTCGGCTGTCTTGAGATATAGTAAACTGGGAGCAAGATGCTTCGAGACAGAGTTCAAGAGCCAGGAATTAACCACAGCGTTGTTCCGAGACCAGAGTCGAGCATTCGGGTCATTATCAGGAGGTCGAGGCAAGCTGCCATTGAGAAAGCCAAGCTTGTTGCGACCTTCGAGGGCCATGGTGATCGAACGATGCCAGGAGTGAAAATCGACGGGACCACTGAGACGGTCAGAAACCAGTTGTAAGCTGGTATGGTCGGTAGAAGCAAGAAAATAGGGATTATCATAGGACTCAGAAGAAGAAATGGGTGGTTGTGTGAGAACATGGGTTTGAGGTGGGGTTTGGGTTTGAGCGGAGGTTTCGCCGGGAGATGTTGGGATGAGACCAGCGGTAACAACGGCGTAAGAAGCCATAGAAAGACGAGCAAGAGAGAGACGAAAGGATTAAAGAGATGCGGAAGAAAAAAAGAGCTTTGATACCATAACAACTCTAAGAGTTGCAGAGGCGCAGAGAGAAGGGTGAAAAACGAAGAAGAAATTCTCTTTTGTATTTTCTATATGTATTGTTTCTGTATACAAGTATCGTATATATAGCCTTTGTCCTCTACATACAATTTGTATGTGTAAAGAAAAGCAGAATATATCACTATCGTACGTTGTTGCGCCGTTCTTCCCTTGTAAATGTCAAACCGTTATGTCTGTACTTCTCCTTTGCTCCTCTGATCTTTTGTCTGGTAAATCATCAACAGTACCACGTGCTTTATCCTCCAACATTTATTAAAAAAATGTTAGTCTAACCTAATATACATACTTTTTATTTACTATTAAAAAATCGAGTAAGAATAAGATCATTCATTCAAAATAAATACAATACAAAACGTAAAAAATATATATCATATCCAATATAAATCTTATATATGTATATATATATATATATATATTTGAACATACAAAATATACAACTATAATACACCATTAAAATACAAAAAAAATGATATTAAATTCTATTTATAACTTCATTTATTTTGTAAAATCAAAATACTATTGACTCGCGAGTTGGTTCGATCTAATCTAATCCGAGTCACTACGAGTTCATTGGGTTTGCCCACCCACTTTCAAATTAATTCAACAAACCACGACTCGTTATAAATGATATAATATATGAACGGTGGAGTTGGTATAAAAAGGAAGTAATGCCGACCCCGTATTGGAATATAAATCAATTGATAATTATATCCTCAATTTGTTACTGACCAACACAATTTCGTTATAGTTTGTCTGTGGCATTAATATATGTATTTTCCTTCCGGTCAGTCCAACCATTAAATAATGTTAAAAAAATCATAATTCATAACTTCCATCTTTCTTAGTCTTAGGTAATACACACACATAAATATTCAGATATATTATATTATGATATAACCAGATTGATTTATATCTTGTATCATCCTGAAAAGGTTTTCATCCAAAAGGACAAATATAGCAACTATATTGCAAAAATTGTTGTTGGCTACTAATAAAATGCTTCTCGCGTATTCACATGCATTAATATTAATATGATTATGTGTAAAGCAAGGAAACATTTATTTTATTAGAAGGGCAAAATTGAAGGGAAATATAATCTAAAATCACATTTCAACAAGAAATAAATAAATAAATAAATGACACTGTCCAAAATCTGATTGGGTAAGAAGGCAAAGACAAGACAAGACAGTAATGTGGATAGAAAGAGATGGAGTTGGGGATACCACAAAATCCAAAGCTCCTCTCTGATTGGCCAATGCCCACATCCCCTCTCGATCCGAACCACATCATCTTCTTCTTCTTCTTCTTCTTCCAGTTGTTAAATTTAAATATTTATGTGAATATCATACACAAATTACAAAGAATTCGAAAGAAGAAAAGAAAAAAAAAAAGCAGAGCAAAAGGAAAAGAAAAAAAAATGGCATCAACATTTGCAAGCACGAGCAGTGTGTTGAGGCCGACGCCGTTTCTTGGTCAGACCAAAGTCTCCAGTTCCAATCCTCTGAGAGACGCTGTCTCTCTTGGATCTCCCAGATACATTATGGTATGCTCTTCCATGCTTTTTTTTTTCCTTTTTTAAATTGGGATTTTCGTCTGATTTTTTTTTTTTTGAATGGGTGTGGTTTGGTGGGATGAAGAGCAATGATTTGTGGTACGGACCGGACAGAGTGAAGTACTTGGGACCGTTTTCCGTACAGACGCCGTCGTACCTCACCGGAGAGTTTCCCGGCGATTACGGTTGGGACACCGCCGGTCTGTCGGCCGACCCCGAGGCCTTCGCCAAGAACCGAGCTCTTGAGGTCAGTTTTTCTCCTTTGTTTGCATCGTAAGAAGAGGAACCACGGTACCATGTAGAAATGGGCACTAGGTTCGGTTACTTGTAAAACTGAATCGCTCCAAATCGAACAGCACGTAATTATAATCGAGCCGAATCTGATTATAAAAACCGAATGTTTGTGATATCTGAGAAAACTGACTCCAAACCGAATCTAAACTGAATTTATTTTTTTTAGAAAACAAACATTTTTATCATTAAAATACCGAATTCAAATCAAATCAAATCTAACATAAAACCCAAATGCATATGGATTTTCTATAATTGAAAGAAACAATCTCAAATAAAACCGAAACAAACCCAAACCGAAAACGACATTATAAGCTAAAGGTGTAAGCTTTTTCACATATCCGTTGAAAGCTCGAGACTTTTTTTGTTCTCATATGAACATCAACTAGAGTCCATGAGAATGGTAATAACACAAGAAACTGACACTAAAACAGCTAAAGATACAAGCTTTCACATATCAGTTGAAAGTCTTAGACTTTTTTTTTCATATGGAAATCAGCTAATGATAATATAACACAACAGGTGATCCACGGGAGGTGGGCAATGCTGGGAGCGCTGGGATGCATAACACCAGAAGTGCTGGAGAAATGGGTCAGAGTGGATTTCAAAGAGCCGGTCTGGTTCAAGGCCGGAGCTCAGATCTTCTCTGAAGGTGGACTCGACTACTTGGGAAACCCTAACCTCGTCCACGCTCAGAGCATCTTAGCCGTCCTTGCCTTCCAAGTCGTACTGATGGGTCTCGTCGAAGGTTTCCGCATCAACGGTCTCGAAGGCATCGGTGAAGGCAACGACCTTTACCCGGGCGGTCAGTACTTCGACCCCTTGGGTCTGGCCGAGGACCCAGTCACGTTTGCCGAGCTCAAGGTTAAGGAGATCAAGAACGGGAGGCTGGCTATGTTCTCCATGTTTGGATTCTTTGTTCAGGCCATTGTTACAGGGAAAGGACCTTTGGAGAATCTCCTTGACCATCTTGACAACCCGGTTGCCAACAATGCCTGGGCTTATGCCACTAAGTTTGTGCCTGGAGCTTGATCTTGTTTCTGTAAAACAATGGATTCCTGGAATGGAAAAGAAAAAACCCTAATTTGATATTTTATGCACATGGCTGAATCTAGGGGGCTGCTCGGCTAAGTTTTAAAGTGTTTTCTGGGGCTGAATCCCTAAGATCTGATCTTTCCCCACCATTTCCGGTGGTGGCCCTTTTGTCCTTCTAGTCTATGGAGTCTTGCCCTCGTCTCTCGTAATCTGGCTTTGTAATCTTTCTTCCATGTCTTGAATCTTTGCTTCAGTTTCTTGAGTTCTTCTTCCGGGTGGTGTTGCCCCTCGGATGAAGTTGATGTCGGTCCAGGTTTCTCCTCAGCAAGAAATCTCACGTCTTCGTCGAAATTGAATTTCCGCTGTTCGAATTCTCTCGCCAGATTGGTCACAGCGTTCAAACTGCCATTGATCCTGATCTCTGGAGTTCCGCCATTGATGTATTTCGTGGGAGTGTTCACTCCAGGAGTTCCTATGGACAGTGTATCCTCTGAATCATAGCCGTAGCCGAGTGGCGATATCGAAGGTTCGGGTTTCGTTGTATGGATTCCGTTGTTGTCCGAAGCCAATGTCTTTCTCGCAGCCGCAAGACTCATCTGCAAAAGCAAAATCCGAGTCATAAAATCCGTGATCTTTTCTCAGTTCTTCCTCGGAGCGAAACCCATCACCTTTTACCTGCAATGACGCCACCTGCTTTAGCCAAGTCTCCTCCATCGACTTCATCTTCACCTCATAATCCGACCACCTTGCCTCGAATTGCCGCAACTGATCCCGCAGCGCAACGTTCTCGTCTTCCTTCTGCAGTAAAGCTGCTTCGGCTTTCTGAACTCGTCTCTGGAGTTCGGCCAGAGCTGATGAAGGCGGGATCTTGAACAGGAAATGAAGTTTTTAGCAAATAGTTATCTGCAAAAACAAACAAAAACAATCGGATAAACATCGACAGAATACTTACCTTGTCTTCCGGAACCGTCCCGCTTGATTTCCTTCTTAGTTCCGTCTTCTCACCGTGTAATTTTTTCTGCCTTTGCATTCTCTCGAACTGCTTCCTAGCCAACCAACCTCGTACCGCTGCAAATAGGAGGTCAAAGAATGTTAAAATCGTGTTTGCGTAGTGAGAATCGAGAATCTTGATGCCCTTATCTTACCTGACTGCAAGAATATGGTTGCAGTTAGCTCTTCATCGATCGATCGGGATATAGCCGCTGCACGTATCTTCGCCTCGACATCATACTTTCTTCGGGCGTTTTCACCTCGGATATCTGCAGCAACAAGGGTTATGTTCCTTGGTGAATAATAATGCATCGAAAAGAGTTCAAGGTAGCGTTTTTTTTCCTCGGGTGATTACATGATTGCAGTAATATTGCCCCACTCCTCAGCTGTTGGAAACATCGACGAGACCGCTGTCCTCGGAAGCACTTTTGTACACCAAGGACGCATCGGAGAATCAGCGTTCTTCTATTCTCGAGGACACCGATCTATAAAAAAGCGAAAAACGAAAGGCATTAATAATTGACAGATAGAGGAAACGAAAACGAATATATATATATATATATATATATATATGCATGCCTCCACGTTTCGGGAACTTACCTGCCCTGTTCGGAGGTACAGTTTTGTATAACCAACTTGAAACATTTCGGGAGGAATATTGAATTGCTTCAGAACAGCAATTGATATGCTCAATGGATCCCGAGATACTTTCTTGTCGGAGAGGAGAAATCCATATCTATGATTATACAAAAAGCCGAAGAAAACAAACAAGCTTAGGAAATTTGTCGATGTTTCGAAGTAGAGCAAATAGAGTTTTTTTAGAGTAAACCTTCCCGAAAACTCTTGATGAGTCAACCGAGTAGGATATCCCGATCTCGATATTCTAACGACCTCTAAAACACCACAACATCTAAGCTGTTGAAGGACAAGATCCTCCTCATATACGCCGGGACGCTGCTTAGAATTCGGCTTGATGCATCGGATAAAATGCGGAGTCGTGTTCTCCAACTTGTTCATCAACTTGAAAAGTTGACCCTGTAGATGCATTCCAAAAAAAAACTTTAATAACCGATGTTTATCGGACACAAAATTGCAGAGTTCAAACCTCGGTACCTTAAACTTAGTTCCGACACTTTGATTCGTAGAATCTGAAAACGTCAATGGCTTCTGAGACTTATTAGGGTTTCTTGTAGAAAACGAGTCCAACAACTGGCAGTTGGATGACGATAAAAGTCGGATAAGATCAGTGTGTAGTGGATCCCGATTCTTCTCCAAAAAACCATTCGTGTCATAGAGAACCTATTTTACCAAAAAAAAAACATTCAAGATCCTCTCGTCATGATGTCTGAACCGATGATATCTGTTCAGCATTCAACTGACCTCTCCGGCATAATGGTTAACTCTGAAGGCCCGACCTCGTTCTCCTTTGAAGCGGCGGTTAGCTTTCAAGTGCTGCTTGAGCTTATTTGCAAAGGTCAGATCAGTTGCCTTTGGAAAATTCGATTCCTCGTCTAATAGAGACAACAAACCGATGGGTTTCTGCAATGATCGGACACATGGAAAATATTACTATTTTTTCGCTAAAAAATATGACTTTTTTTAATAAAAACAAATACTGCGAATTACCTTCTCGATGAGATCTAAGCACTCTTGATTGTCTTCAAATTCAACCTTGGTCCAATCAATTCCATCCTCTTCATACTCCTGAATCAGAGACGGTATTTTTCATGAATAGAGGAAAGAAAACACGAAGAAGAGCAGAAGAGAAGAACGAAAAAAGACACAAACTTATATATTATCACCTCTTGTTCGAGTTTAAATAAATGCCGGTTGAAGTGTTGCTGCAATCTCTCGTTCGCATAATTAATACAGAATTGCTCGAAGCTGTTATTCTGAAACCCAAGGATAGATCAAATCATCACCACGGTCCAAAAGAATTAACGATTAAAAAATCTATAGCGAACGGTTACTAACCTTGAATGATTCGAACCCATATATATCAAGAATACTCAAAGATCTCCCCGTGAGTGATTTACCAACTTCCAATGCAACGTTTATTCGTCCAACGAGCCATTCAAAAAGGCCTGCGTAGAGGAATTTAGCCAATGCATCCCTCATATCAATTGCCTGAAAGTACGATTGTTAAGAAATTCAGACATCAGCCCTTGATTGTTTTTTGAATAAGAAATGTTTGGATAAAATCAACAAAGAAAAGGGGGGAAAAAAGCAAACCTGCGGCAATGTCAGTCTTTTAGCAATACAGTCCCTACCGGCTTGGAGCTTACGGGTAGACAAAACCACCATAAGCTCGTCTGGATTGCAGCCCATCAGCATTGCAGCATTTGTTACAGCTACCCAGAAAAAAAACACTTAATTCAACAAAATGATGGCAAGAAAGGAAGAAACCATATGTATGATGCCAGTTATGGTGATGACGATGATGATGGATGATGAACTGTATATAAATTCTACCTTCATCTGCTACGACCTCCACATGATTTTCATTGTCAATCACTTGGAAAGATATGTTCCCTATCCATAAGACAGTAGCAAGCAATGCAAATGTACGGTCTTGATCACCTTTGGGTATTTTAACGATATCGAAAGCTTCCTACAGAGATAGAGAGATATAGCTGTCAAAAAAGAAAGAACAAAAAAAATGATTTCTGACATCCAAGGAACAGACAGGACATAGAAAAATAGTTACCATCAGTTTGTGAAACTTCTTAGCATCATCAACACCATCAATGATCAAGCAATCGCTCTGATTCAGATAGCTGTACTCACTCGCCGTCTTAAGCTTCAATTTCTCTGCATATACACAATCAAAGAACCAAAACATGTCAAGTGTGATGAATACGAATATGTATGTATGTATGTATATATCCGGGTATCGAATCTTAGATGTTTCAGTTTGAAATGATACCTTTAAGAGTTGGAGAAGCCCCAGCACACAATTCATAAAAGATGTGGTAGGATCTTTCGCCAACAGACAACTGAACCACTCTTGTCTGATCAAAGCAAACTAACAGCTTCAGAAAAGGCTAAGAAGTGAAAAATTCAATGATAAGGTTAAGGAAACAAGACTACCTTCTCCAATAGAACTGTGGCCGTTCAGCAACGAGTAATAACGCATAACAAGGGGAGTAAAAATGATTTTATGTGAGTCCCGAATCATAGCATATATCACAAGAAAATCGTAAAAGACACTCGAAATTTGTTACTCACAAGTCTCAACTTTGGCTCCACATATCTTTCCCGTCGCACTGAAATGAATCTCAATCAGTTTGCCCTGCACCCATTTGGATTCACTGTTAATCGAAGATTCGAAATAAAATAACATCTTAGTGTACATAATATATTATTTCATAATGATCATAAACATAAAGTGAAACCAATTGGGCTGATTACAAGTCCAAAAAGAAAAAGAGAAAGATAAGAGAACGAATTTCCCATCATGCAAAAAAAAGTTAGAAGAAAAAGCTTCTATAAATAACTCACAAATCGGCTAGAGTTTGCATTTCTTGATGTTTTAGCATTCCCAAATGCTTCGAGAATACTATTTGTCTTTAGGATTTCATACTCTATTCCACAGCTACTTCCTCCACCAAGAGCGGCCAAATACTGCATCGCAAATTTTGCCGTCTCAGTTTTCCCAGCTCCACTTTCCCCGCTGTAGAATAATTAATAACCAAATGGTCGTTCATATTTACGTCTCAAACCGTTAACCTCTACATCCACCAAGATGCAAACTTCACAAGCGAAAATCTCCTACCTTATAATGATGGACTGGTTCTTCTCATCTGCAAGTAGAGAAATTTCAAAGCTTTAGTGCCAGAAACTCATTGTATAAGAACAATCAAAGAGGGAAAGGAACTATTTTTCCAAGTTTCATGGATTAAAAAGTAAATAACTTTACGCACCTCTCATCATCTCATTATAAGCTGCGTCTGCCACAGCATACACATGAGGAGTATCCAAAACCTTCTGCTGATAAGCCGAGAGGATATCTTTTCCATAAATCGGCACGTCCTTAAATGGATTGACTGCAATCAAAACTGGCCCTGCTTTACTCTACACAACGGAGACCTGATAATCAGCTGAGAGAGTAGCCAAAGAAATCAAACTGATCAAAAGAGTTTCATGCAAAACTTACATAAATCAAGTCTTGAGAATATCTGGCCCGGAGGTTGTAAAGGACTGATGGCTCATTCAGATAACTTAGCTGTATAAGATCTTCAACGCCTTCGAGAATCTCTGGGTTTGCAGGGAAGAGCTCTTCTGTCGACACTTTCACAACCTTCGGAAGCATAGGTTTTAAAAATCCAGATACAGTCAGACCCATGTAACCGTTCATCAACAGATGAGACTTCAACTTTAAGAAAACTTACATTTCCACTGGACAACACGACAAAGGACTCATCACCGGGGGTAGACTGTATCATTCCCAGTTGCCATTGTGCATCAGGTACCCGACACCAAACACGAAGTTTCTGAAATCAAAACAAGCACTGTAAGTGTGAATATCAAAAAAGCTGCACCATTCATCTAATCAAAGAAAATCTAAATCTTAAATCGAAATCAAAATCAAAATCTTAGTGTTTGCTTCCGGAGGACTAAACTACTCACGCTTTCATGTTCATCGAATCTAAGGAACTTACCCAGTCTTTGGTACAAAGCTTGCTAGAACAAATCACTCACAAAAGAATCAACCCCAATCTCTCAAAAGTTTCCAACTTTTACCAATCAGCTATAACTATCATTCAAACTTCCATAAGGTCACTCTAGCACAAAACTTCAGCTCATACAAAAACCAGAGCTACTTCATGAGAAAACACAGTTCTCCACAGAAAAAAAAAGGAAAGAAATAGATAACCAAAAAAAGCAAGGATCGGATCAAATTCAATCACCTTCTTGATGAAATACTCAACGTTATCGTTCCATTCAGGTTCCAGCGATTTCTTACCCTCCGCCTCCTTCTTCACATGACTCACCTGACCACTACTACTCTTCACATCCTCCATTGTTGCGTCCTTCTCCTCCGCCGTGTAAGGAGATTCCGCACTCTGCTCAGTCTTCATCTTCTTGCTCCCGAAGCTCTTTCTCTTCACTCTCAAATCCTTCTCTTTCCTCTTCCCTTCCTCCTTCCCCTTGCCTTCGCCCTCCGCCACGGCGGAGACAGTGCCCATCACATTTCCGACGCTGAAGTTCGCCGGAAGCGATCGGCGTGCCGACGGCAGCCGCGCCCTCGAATTGGGCCGGGCCGGAAGCGCCGGCGGAGTATCTCTCGGCCGGTCACACTCGTCTTGCCGGCAGAGAGACTCAAGCATCTCCTCCAGCGAGCTTTTCCCCGGTGTCGTCGGCGACGCCGATAACATCATTCTCTTTGCCACTCACCAAAAGTAATCGCGGAAGAAATCAAGAACCCACCAATAGAAATCCCTCGCGGTGGCTTAATCGACAAGCATTTCGCGCAATTCGAACTTCATAAACCCTAATTTACCAAATCATGGAGGAGACGGAAGAAAACGTCGAAACCAGAAGAAGAATCCCAGGCCTCGGTTAACCAAGCGTGCTCCTCGGAACCTGAGAGCTTCTGGGGAAACCTGAATATCAGAGATTCAGCGACCAAATTTCTAAATTTTTTTACGAGAAAGTGAAAATCTCGAGGGTTTTCGACGAAATTTTTTTTGGGGAAAAAATGGAAACCCCTGCATTTGTCGTCGAGATTAGAAACTGAATAACAGCAGAAGAATGGAGTCAAAACGGGGAAAAACCGAATTTTCCAAACATGGAAAAGAGTAGAAAGCCAAAGCCATTGCCAACGACAGAACTTTTTTTTCTGAAAAAAAAAAGAAAAGAGAGCGAAACTTACGAGGCCGATGGGGGCAGAGAGAGAGAGAAAGGACAAACAGAGAGAGAAGTTAAGGTTGTTTATCAGAGAGGACTAGCAGGGAGAAAAGCAATTGTTTGGTTCCTGGGAAAATAAAACCTCTGATAAGTTTCTTTCGTGAGAAAATGCTGATTTTTCCTCAAAGGATGCGGCTTTTGCTTTCTCGAGGAGAAGAAGAAGATGATAAAACATGCTCATGAATAATCATCTCTCCTACAGTTATTTCTTTTTTTTTCAACAATTTTTTTTCTTTTTCGCTTAATAAAAAAAAGGTGTCCGAATCTGAGTGAAATAAAATGTTAATAAAAATACTCTTATTCTCTTATTTTGACTTTAAGATGTATTTCTCTATTTGTGACAATCTATATAATCTGAAATCTGAAATATAGTATATTTACATATAGATTTTATTATTCATAATATTAAATTTATGATATTTTAATCGAATGATTAATAAAATATATAAAATATGAATATAATAAATCAGTATGATCACCATAAATTTAACATTATAATCAATAAAATTAAAATATAATCACACTATATTTTAGATTATATAGATAAAATATGTATTGAAGTAAAAATAACAGGTATCTTTTATGTCTAATAAACATATGGGAAAATAATAACGTTAATAACCCATTTTATATAGGTATAGATTACGGATGTTTGTCGAGCATATTACAATAGTGAATTTTATATAGTATTTGGTTTAAAATTAAAATCGGATCCAAATAATTAGTAAACAGTTATATGTTAATGAATTTGAAATAAAATAGTAATATATATATATATATATATGACTTTTAAAATTAAATTAACAAGATCTGAAACATAATCTTGATTAAGATTTAAAATCAATACAAAATCTAAATATCTATATTGGGTAAAAAAATTTTAAAAATTCAAACCCATTTTTTTATTTTTCGTATGAAGTTTCCCATACACTTAAAAAAAACATTTTTCTTAATATAAGGTAAATGTTAATAGCCAAAATAATACAATCAAAAATTAATTCTTAAATATTATAGGTTATCGGATAAATGACGATACTGCCTACTGATTTTGCTATACATATTGTACCAAAAAAAAAATCATTGGTACTTTTTTATATATAAAAGTGAAGTTCGTGCAAAATTAATTTCGTAAAGTTTGGTGCTTATTTTACTATTACAATGTGTCTATTAAATGAAATGAAAGCGACAGTGTCATCAACACGGTCCTTTTGCGTGACATTAAAAAATGATTAAACAAAAAAAGATTGTTCTTATTTTTTTTTTCCCAAAACAAGTAAGAATATATTAATGTTGAAGAATTTTATTGTACAATGCAATTGAAGTTTCTTAGACAGACTTTGTGATATAGTTTCTTTTGGGTAGTCCTTTATATATTATATTTATTCTTATTTAATGTTTTTAAATCTAATTTAAAGTGCATTTAATTATTACTCCTCTTGTCTAGGAAATTTATCACAGCCAAAAAAGTGGTTTAAAATTTTAAATTCTTTCCATATGAATATGGAATAGGTCCATTTGATTAAATAAGATAACTAAAGTCAGAAGTGGCATTTTACAAATCTACCCCTCAATCAAGGTTCTCACGTTAATGCTCCAAAACGATACTATAATTTAATTTTAATTATATTTTGAATTGATTTTAAACATTTAGAGTTATTATGTTTGATTTAAATTTTATTAATATCTATTTCTATTACAAATATTTACTTACCAAGAAAATTTTATTTTAACTTTATTTTTATTTTATTTTTAATTATTTTTTATTTAATTTGAATCCAGTCAATTTTAATTAATTTAATTTTTAAATTAATTTAATTTTAAAAAGGTTACATACACAATTTTTAAATCTAAAATTTTGAGATTAGTTTTATATATTCGATTTGAAATATATATCTTATATCACTCAAAAAATAAAATAAAATAAATATAATTCTTTCAAAGTTTCGGAAATTAGTAATATGATATGATTGTTAAATTAGTGTATGGTGATGCACAAACAAAAATATATAATATATGTTGATATAGTAGATTTCAATTAAACTAAGAAGGGATATATATATATATATAATCCATATCATACTCGAATTACATCAGTGTTTCCAATATTTAATAGCATTTTTATCTTACAAACATTATCAATAGAAATTATTATTTACGACTTATGCGAGAAATGTTTATTTATCTGAAAATATAAATATAAGTATTATTTACTCTAAAAGATCTTAAAATTATTTATATTTGAATCCAATTTAAGCACTACATGTGTAATATTTTAAAATTTAAAATCTGTACAAGTTAGGAAATATAATTCACAACTTCAAACTGAGATGATGATGATGATGATGATGATGATGATGATGATGATGATGATGATGCGATGTAAGAATGATGGAACGTGGATTCCAATAACATGGGTTCCAATAGCGAAAAGAGAAATAGACGAGTCAACAATATTACAATAGAACCTGCTGCACGTATCGTGGGTGTTTTCTTCCCGGGGCTATAATATATATATATATATATATACATTAACAAATTATTATTATTATTATTATTATTATTATTATTATTTGTTTCGGTTTGAATGTTTTAGACAAAAAAAAACCTATAATTGTTGACACTGGAAAAATAATAATAATTTCAGATAAATAAGAAATACGCCGGTATTGATCATCCCATCCCATGGTCATGCAAAATACTATGTTTTTCTTGTTCATGTATGTATGGCTTTCATTATACATAACAACGTTAGGGGTGAAAACTTCTGATTTCAGCTTCTTCTTTTTTTTGGGTTTTTTTTATGTTTAGAAATAATTATATATATTTAAATTTCTTATCAAATATTAATTAATTTTGTATTCTGTTTAGAGTCGATGAGATTTTATTATTTTAATAAATATTTATTTTAAAGAATTAGTTTTTATTGTGTTTTTTTCAGTTAATTTACATCCATTCAGGATTTGGTTTCATTTAATTTTTAAAAAGTCTATGTAATCGTTTTTATTTTGAAATTAGTTTACATATAATTTCATCACACTTGATTTGTTCAAGACAGAAACGGAGACACGTATCATTTATCGCCTAGAAAGCCAAACAGATGGGGGAAATTAAATTATATTGACGGAAAATATAAAAAAGTTAGAATAATGATCACTAACCACCACAAAAGTTCTTTTCCAGACAAACAAATTCATCTCATTTTATGCAAAGATAATTAATTCCGTTGGTTAGTCTAATTACCCCCTAATTATATAGTTAACACAGTGTTCGAATCAACACCCTTTAGAGGTAATCATTTTATACATATGTGGTTACATTTGAAATTAACAATTATTACTTCACGTTTATTTTTTCCATAGTCTAACGAAAACCTAGACTTATATAATTAGAATATATATATATATATATATATATATCTTGATAGAACTAACGTTTAAAATATATATTAATAAGTCAATAAAAACAACGTCGACATCGATATCAACATCGTCTTAATCCCAAATTTATTCGGAACTAACCATATAAATTCTTAATTTGTTTCCACTCATTTTCGGTTTGAAGTTAGAGCTTCCAAAATTTACAACAATTTTAAATTATTCCTAATTACTCGTTTTCAATCATCTCCATTCTTATATATTATCTACTTTTCTAAATATTGTACATATCAAAACTATCTTAAACGTTTATATCTTCTTTTCTATACCTATTATTTCTATTTTCTCTCTAATATTTTCATTTATAATTCTATCCATTTTTAAATATCCGCATATCCATCGCAAAAATCTTCAGGTCATATTTATTTTAGACAAATGATATTTTTTCGTTACCCAGTATTCGTCACTATATATCAATACGAGTCTTATTATGGTATGGTAACATCAAGAAAAACATCATCTATCAAATTAAGTAGACTAGCATAGCATGTTCTTATGGTGAGCTATGTGAGTGTATTATAGACAAGTTTTTGAAGTTTAGGGTTTCGATATTTAGGGTTTCTTCGCTTTTTCCCCTTTGGATGAAGGGATGAGACATGTGATGGGTTTTGCTGCTTTTGCCTAATGGGGAGAATGAGGGGGAGAGTGCATGCGTTGTTATGTTTCTGCATGTCTTTTTCTGACACGTCCACAATGGAATGTCTTATTTTTAATGTATCAAAACCTATGGTCTCTCTTGATGTCTATCCCTCTCTCTGGGTCCTAAAGTCTCTGACATTCTTCTACTGTTTTTTAGCTTATTTAAAGGAAATATATATATATATATATATATATATATATCTGATTTTATAAAACTACTACATAATATTCCTATACAATAATTATTTTACCTCATATATCCGCATTTTTTACTCATTTGGTGGGATTTCGTTTTTGCCATAGATTATAAATCCGAATATAATTATTTCCCTTTTTTGGCAAGAAAATTCAAAGTGTGTGTGTGTGGATATATGACGGGAAAAAATAATCAAAAGGTTTCAGGAAAGAATGGAAAATCAATCCGAACTGTATGGCACTGTCCAGGCATTATTATCAAAATATCTAATTGTTTTTGGTAAATTCGCCAAACACAAAGCCCCAAAAATTTCCACTATGTATTTTCATGTTCGGTGCAATAATTTTCCTGCCCTCCTTTTGTTTCACCAGGGCCCATTCAGGCATTCATAAAAGAAATCCACTGATATTTGATATAACATAAAAAAAAAAAAATCTCAAGTAATTAAATTAAGGGTAATAATGTCTTAGTAAAATGATTAATCCGATTGATTATACATGTCTATGAATAATATGCGAGCGTCGTTGGACCGTAACATACGTCATTCGTCACATGCCGCACGTGTTTATCCCGCTGTTGAATTAATTACAAAATAATATTACCGATTGTATTAAATGCGTTTTGATCAAATGTATGCGACATTATTAAATTTATAAATTGGAACATATGTAGCCATCGCTTCATATGGTATGATTATAATCATTTTTGATTCATAATTGTACCTAATCCTAATGGTCGATGTGGTCCGCATTCGGACAACCAAAATGGGCCCCCTGAGTGTTTCTTGAGTGGGTTTTGTTTAAGGGTGCACTCATTTAGTGTTTGGATTTACACTTTTATATTACATTTCGATTTATATTTGTTTCGGATTTTATAAAAAGTAAATTTTTATTTTCTATAACTATTTCGTTGTATTGTTATTTTTCGATTTTAAACCATTTATGAAATGGTTTAAAACCTCCCCATGCGTAGGATATATAGGACGGTCGATGTTTTATTTCATGAATTCCATAAACCATAAGACTTTACAGATTTATAAGATCCAGGTTATAAAACTCCAAAAAAAAAAAAAAAAGAAATCAAATATGAGTGTGGTTCTTCTTACCAAACATCACGTGAAACCTGTCTACATAGGGTTAAAAAAAAACATTTTTTCAAATATAGGACCTTCGGAAGACGGCAAGTATATACTGTTGTTTCTTTTGGGTGGTACGTTTCCAAAGAGGCATTTTGTTCGTCAATGTTTGGCAAACATACCTTCCATCAAAGAGGAGAAATCGCACTCTTTGTTCGTCTGTGAAGTAGTAGAAGAAGGGGTTGTGGTTGATGACTGACGTTCACTTGTTGATGTCGGCGTTGCACCGTTAACTTGCCCTGTTGTCGTCGTCGTCATGGTGTAGAAACTGCGAGAAAAACAACGATATTAACCAACCGCAATCTTATTTCCAAGATCGTGCAAAAGCCCCGTATAGGAGGAATTGGGGATTTTCATGCTAAAACCCTCAAGAAACTATATTCCGGAAAGTTACCCCTTTATTCCCGAGTTCTTGCAAATGTATTTACAGAACTAGAACAAGAATTTCATAAAAAAAAGCTTTTAACATTTCATCTAATTGAACGGCGACACAAAACGGGAGTTGCGAACAATCAATACCTGGGCATCGGGTATTGCTGTGTGTTCCCTGGCTGTTGCATTGTTGGTCTCATGTTCATGTTCATGGCCATGTTCTAATACACAGAGACAATAGAGAGAACAATAAGTGTGATATGCAAAAACTTAGTCAATTGCAAACGTATTATAGCTTTATATAAACTGCAGCAATACCTGCATAAGTTTCTGTAGCTCGGCCGGACCACCCGCTGGCATCATCGTGCCTGGGATCGGGTACCCGAGGTTTGGCCAACTTGTAGTCGGCAAGTTAAGACCGTTAGGCAGAGCTTGTTGATTAGCATTGGAAACCTTCGGACCCGTGCCTGAAGACTTAGAAGCTGCGGCTATGAGAAGGGATTGCTGGTGAGCAAGCATTGCGATTTGTTGCTGGTGCATGGCGAAAGGCGACACAATATTCGACTGCGAAAAAATGAAACCCATAACACAAAACGTAAGCAATGGATCATCGGGAATGTAAATAAATACAGAAGTGAGAAAACATGATTAAATTAGAATGCACCTTCTCAAACAGGCTCATGATATCGTTTTTTACATCTTTCTGTGGCTTCTGTAGAGCTGTTAAAGCTGGCGAGTCTTTAAATAAATCCTCGATTCCAGAAACCGGAGGAGAACTGGTCTCAGCAGGCTTTGATGTGTCGGTTTTCTCTGCCGTTTGAGCATCTCCAGCCGCTACAATGTTAAGAGGACTGAATTTATTATTACACAGTAGAAATTTGCAATTCAAGTATTTTACCCTAAAGCAGCCTTCAAAAGAACAAAGCATTAAAAAAAAATTAAGGGTATGAAAAATCTGCTAGGAAGGATGTAGAAAGTCATGTTAGATTCATACATTTAAAGCCAGCCCAAGCATTATCATCAGCAGAAGTTGCCTCTGAGCCATTTTCAACGGTATCGTCCAGCGATAGCATGTTGAATAGGTCAGTTGCATAATCAACTTTTGGAGGATCTGTTGCCGGAGCAGCATTTGCAGCTTGTTTCACAGCCTCTATCGGAACGGTTGCTGACTCTGTTTTCTGAGTAACCTGTTGTGGCTTTGAAACTAAAGTAACCTGTTCATTTTAGGCACTTCACGCATCAGTAATCATGTTTTGCAATTTGCAAAACTTTAAGAAGCTAGTTTCTCATTACTTTGAGAGTTTAACCTGAAAACGATCATAATATCAGGTCCTTGAACCAGAATGAGTTTCAGATATAAGAAATTAAGAATATGACGAGTCTGACAGCTACAACAGATGCATTAAGCGAAACCATATTATAAGAGCAGCTATGACAATTCTAACATCATATTGTATTAGATGAGCTCATTGCAAGATAATCCTTGATAAACCCGAGGCAATAGCTTCTTTAAACAAACAGCAGAATATGGAGAACTACAAATCTTGTAAGAAGTGTCATAGATACCTGGACAGGTCCTTGAGGAGGGACAGGAAGATTTATCCTAGTATCAGAAGCGCTATTTCTAGGTGCCTGGACAGCCTTCTTTTCAAATAAATTCTCAGAACTGCTACTATGGCCATGCCTATACCCACTTTTTTCCACAGATCTCTGATAATCAGAATAAGGCCTTTCTTCCCGTCCAACTCTTGGGGGCGATCTGGCATTTTCGCCTTTAGGAATCCATCTCTTCTCCTCATACCTAAAAAAGCCATATGCCCCACAATGAATTCCAAGCCCACAAATATAGCAACAAAAACAACGCTTAAGTGATCGAGAAATTTGTACAATGAAAAGCTAGGGCATACTTTGCTCTTATGAAATTCTCAATTCCAACCCTATCATAGTTTGTAGGTAGCTCAGCTTCCCAGTAACTATTTGCTCTATCATTTCCCATAGCTGCATGATATTAAAAGAATATATCACAAGATCATTAAGGAAAAATATCACAAAACCATTGTTTAACCTCATACCATTTTTTAATCATAGGACACAAAATTTAAATGGAAACTTACACTGAATAAATGCGACCTGCTCTGGGAGCCATGTGTCCAGAGTGGCAGATCGAACCTGTGCCCATAACACATAAAATTAGATGTTTCTTACAATAGATAGTTGATATATTAGCCTGAATCCACAATGAAGAATTGATAGGGGAAAAACAAGAGATTACCTTTGATATGTGTACCCCAAGACTCCTGTGAATTCCAGAACATTGCATGCAGATAAAGATTCCTAAATTTACACTAGCCCATCTTGGACCTCTGCATAGGAAATAGGATACTTTTAATCCACACATGTCTAAGAACCAGCACAGCTGATAGCCAATATCTGCAACATCCTTACATACTTTGCTTTGCAGTCGGCACATTCTCTGTTCTCCGGATATTTAAGAAGTCCCTCTAGAATCTGAAAATACTCAGTGCCAAAACCATGAGAAATTCAAGCGAAAGAACAGCTGGACAGAAGAAATGTAAGTAAATTGAAAACCCAAAAATTAAAGCCTACATCAGTGTAAACATAAGTTAACTTCAAAGAGAAAGCATCCACATGTTCTACCAAACAAAATGAAAAAAAAAAAAACTTATCATAACAAACATGGGAGATCTTGAAGCAGATTTTCTCATAAAGATAATTTTCATCTGTCGACACCTCAATTCTAGCAAAAGCTACCAGGCACACTTCATGTATCACCAGCCCGCAAAAAATCCTACCAATAACAATGACCATTAGTTTCAATATCGCAGACCAATTGAAGGCTACCATGTGAAAAACACCCCTGATGTGACCAAATTTACCATCCCACAGTTGATTTAAGGACAATCAATCCTTTCCTTTTGTTCACTTTATCCATAATCAAGGGGAAGGATTGAATTTCTATAGAAGACTCAAACTGAGAAAAGATCATATCACCTTCAGATCAAGAGAAAGCTACAACCATATATTCCACCAGAAATCCGGATCCTAAACAGCAAATAGTGCGACATATACTTCAGTAGGTCGCAGCCTGATAGAAAAATCCTAAGAACCCAAAACCCAGAATATTCTATGCACCATCGGTGATCGTCCCTAAAGAGAAATTGAAACGGCTGAACTGATCTCAACGTTGGTGAAGAACCACTCAATCCGATCGGTCAAAAGAACAAAGCATTAAAAAAAAATTAAGGGTATGAAAAATCTGCTAGGAAGGATGTAGAAAGTCATGTTAGATTCATACATTTAAAGCCAGCCCAAGCATTATCATCAGCAGAAGTTGCCTCTGAGCCATTTTCAACGGTATCGTCCAGCGATAGCATGTTGAATAGGTCAGTTGCATAATCAACTTTTGGAGGATCTGTTGCCGGAGCAGCATTTGCAGCTTGTTTCACAGCCTCTATCGGAACGGTTGCTGACTCTGTTTTCTGAGTAACCTGTTGTGGCTTTGAAACTAAAGTAACCTGTTCATTTTAGGCACTTCACGCATCAGTAATCATGTTTTGCAATTTGCAAAACTTTAAGAAGCTAGTTTCTCATTACTTTGAGAGTTTAACCTGAAAACGATCATAATATCAGGTCCTTGAACCAGAATGAGTTTCAGATATAAGAAATTAAGAATATGACGAGTCTGACAGCTACAACAGATGCATTAAGCGAAACCATATTATAAGAGCAGCTATGACAATTCTAACATCATATTGTATTAGATGAGCTCATTGCAAGATAATCCTTGATAAACCCGAGGCAATAGCTTCTTTAAACAAACAGCAGAATATGGAGAACTACAAATCTTGAACGAAAACTAGCAGTACAAATGCCGAAACAACATAGATCCAAGCGAATTGCAATCAGAGCGAATCCGAGAGAGAGAAGATAAAAGTTTTTCTCGCTATTCAACGATCTCTTCAGAAATCAACCAAACAAACAAATCGAGGAAGTCCAGAGAAGATCTACAAGGAAAAACATAGAAAGAGAGAAGAAAAGCAAGACCTTCCTATGCTTGGCATTAAGCTCCTTAGAGACGCTGGCCTTCTCGTTCATGGCGGAGAGATTAAAGAATCGGGGACGAACCTGTAGGGAGAAGAATAAGGAGAAGATGGGAAGAGACGACGGGGTCAAAACGGTCTTTTGCCTCGCTCCCTCTCTTCTCTTCCTCCTCTCTCGTATTCTCTGTTTTTCTTTTTTTCGCTTTATATGTGATTTCTGGGAAATGCGGAAGCGAAAGGCCATTTTTTATCTTTTGGCAATATATATATATATAAACCTGTGGGTTAATGTAATAATAAAAATACATTTTGAATTTTCTTATATATAAAAATAGCTTATTGTTGTATTATCTGAAATATATGTGTTTTATTATTCAGTTTATAATGTTTATATTTATGGAGTTAAATACCTTATAATAAGTGCTTCAATTGATAAGAATTCAATAAATGCTTGACTTATTTATTGCCATTATTATGTCGGCTGACTTGTGAAAATATGCCACTAAGAGAAATTAGTGTGCTAAAACTATTTTAAAAAAGGGAAAAAAAAATGAGGTCAACGGTGGTCTCGCATTTTAATAAATGAACAATAAAGTGCAAATGTTTCAAAATTCTCTTTAAAAAATCAGATGGAATATTATTTGATATAATCTTAAAAACAAATGCGATTTTTTTTTGTAATTCAATCACATTTCATAAAAAAAAACTCCTGAAGTTTTTCATATGTATTTAACATTAGAATAATATTTTCTATCATTTATAAATTAAACATTAATTTTTAACTGAGACCAAAATAAAAAAATCAATGTAGAGGACAGAGAAAAAAAAATAGTTTCACCAATACAAAACAATTTTTTTTGTCGTATACCCATTCACTAATTGCAAATTTTTCTTCTTTTCTTGGGTCAAATTTCCGATGTGACCGATACCAAATACATGTGTTTGTGCCAGTTTTGGGGTTTTTTCACGGACATAAATAAAAGTTCAAAATGCTCAAATTTGAACAATCATGGAAACTTTGGGGCAATCCCGACGAGAATTTATAAATAGAGGGCATATCCAAAATACCTACAAACTTTGGGGGTCTATACGGCAAAACTAGTACTTATATGCATACATATTGCACCCACTGATGAAGAAGCTTTAGTCCTGTCGCATGCGAGAGAGAGGCAAAATGGGAATTTGGGATACTATCTCCTCCGCAGGAGATTCTCTGAGGAGGAACGCGCCCGGTCTAACGTCCGTCAAGAGCTTCTGCCGGAGCTCGTACGATCACACATGCTATGCCGTCGCGAAGATCGGGAGCGCCGTCGGAGGAGTCGGAAACGCCGTCAAAGTTCACGGCGTCGACAAGGTCGCTCAGCAGCTCCGGGAAGAAGAAAGCCGCGCCGCGATCCGCCGGTTCTCCGGCAGCTTCGCCGTTAACGCCGCTGTTTTCGCCTTCCACGAGGGTCTCAAGAGCATTCCCGGTAATTATTGTCAGAAATTTTCACCGGAACGTGAAATCTCTTATCGAAACCCTAGTTCCGACGATTGCAAAATAAAAAGTTCGTATACTTTCCTCCGTTTCATGATTGTCTTGGACTCTTGCGTGAACTTGATTGCATCAGCATGCAAATGTTCCAGATATTTTTTGTTGAGAAGGATCCAAATTTGTGGCGGATCATACATTAAACGACCACGAGGATGATACGTCTGTGGAAGAGATTGACAGAGAACATTAGTCTGGGCAAATTACCGTCTGCCTAGTTTGAACTTGCCAGATTGTGTTATGGGAAGTTTTCCGGTATTCCTCAATCTCTCTGTTACCCCCTATTGGATCTGATCTTATTGTTAGTGCCTCCACCAGTACTTGAGGATTCTTCATAAATCATGAGATATGGAGCTTGAGGCAGTGGGACGTATAAAAACCTGTCTTTGAGTATCGATCATATGTTTCAGGTTCCATGTAAGACTAAGATGATCTTATGTTAGTTCCTTATCGGTTGAACCTTGAGTTAGAATTTAATTCTCATTGGTCCAGTTTTGGGCACTTTAGTTATCCTTTTGCAGAATTCATCTTTTGCTATGTTGTGGTCGAATGATTCATACCGACAAGCCGCGAATTAAGCCCGTGCTACTCTCCTCAATCCCCTCAAAGCTGATGTTGGATAATCTGGGCTCATTTCTCTATTTACACTGATATTTGCAGGCGGAGCCCCGATCTACGGCATTGTTTCCCGGTCAGTTTCGGCTTGCAACAATCAGCCAAACAAACAGGAAGAGCTGAAGGAACTGCGTGCCAGAATGGAGCTAATGGAGAAAGAGCTCGCTGCCTACAAAACTTTACTCGAGAAACAAGGGTTTGAGCGACATGAGCTCGAGGTTTTACCTCGTACAGACCCCCTCCGCGATGCACAGAAACTTGAAGATGTTATGAAAGTATCGATGGGGCAAATAACGAGATTGTGCCTCTTGGATGATCTGATTGTTCCCGGGGTTAGGGCAAGCAAGAAATCCGAGTAGTGGTACATGCCTCGACGAAAGACTGTCCAACTAATCTGTAAAGGCCAATATAGTTAGGCCATGTTAACGTGCCTCTTCATTCTCTGGACGCAAGGTTGTATGTATGGTTGGATGTGTTAAATGGTCGCAAGCTTATATGGCAATGGTGGTTATTATAGTTTCATATATATATATATATATATATATATGTATATATGTATGATGGTCTCCATGAATCATGCCAATTAGCTTTGTGAACAATGGCAAATCCAACATATGTATCTGTTCTGCCATGTGTGTGTACGCATGCACTCAATTAGTGATGGTATATGGTAATGGTACGATGTGCAGTAATTTAATATTGTTTTACAATTAATATATAGTAGTACGTTTAGTTCAAGAAATAAAAATTAAATTTAAAGGCTTTGCTTATAATGCATCCACGCAAATGTGGGCCCAATGGGTCGAACAAGATGGGCCACAGAGGCCCATATTTAATAACTAGGGTTACAGGAGTGACGAGCTTTGGACTTTGTTCCACATATGACATATGTTTCTTGAGCTTCTCTCGCTCGATTCCTCTGAAATTTGAAGCGGCGAACATCGGAAACAATGGCGGCTAGGAGTGTGGCTGCTCGTCAGGCGGTGATTCTTGCAAGGTTATCTTCTCCGACGTCTCAGACCGCTTCCTCTCTCGTTTACCGCCGTGGAATGGCAAGCGGCGGCGGTAAGTCTGTGTCTTTCTTTCAAAAAAATGGGTTACGTCGTTCTCTCCGTTTATTCATTCGAATTTTTTCGGGAAACGGCTGAAGATGTGGATTTTCTTCGATGTTTCGGTATTTTTTTTTATGGCTTTGAACGTGTCATTCTCCGGAGCTGAAGGTTTGTTTTATATGGATATGTTATTGAATCGCTTTCATGAAGTGATTTCTTTGTCTTGTCATGGAAATAGTTTTGAATTTGTGAGCCCTTTAGCGTTGATTTGAAAGTATGATTCTTATACCTGAGATTGATCTCCTTGTTTGCCGCTTGCAGATCACCACGGACCTCCCAAGGTGAACTTTTGGCAGGACCCTATGAGCCCATCTAAATGGAAGGAAGAACATGTGAGTTTATTCCTACTTTCTGTTTTCTTAACACTTGGGATTAGGAATTGGATTGATTTTCTGTATTGCTTGTAGACAATTCTTATGCTTAGATCCTTGAGAAGATACTCAGATATGAGTTTAAGTGGATGCTTTAGGCATTGGTGGGAAATTAGTGCTTGTGTCTTCTGTTCTAAATTCATCTTCCATAGCATTGATCCCTTAATGTGTTTGCCATCATTTTCAGTTCGTGCTTGTGTCTCTCGCCGGCTGGGGCTTGCTTTTCTATGGAGGATACAAGTTCTTCACTAGAGGCAACAAGGACAATACTGGAGATGTAAGTTGATGATCTTATGTTCTTCATTTGTTTTGTCTCTCATTTTGTTCATGTGTGAAGATTGATTGTTGGATCTTAATCTTCCCATTTGCAGAAGAAGGTTGGCGAGGCATAGATAGGTTCTTCTTCACTGTCGCTTGGTAATATGCAGATCTAAATCTAGAGTCTAAAACCCTTTTCTAGCTGTGCATGTCTATGTTATTGTACTTGGTGAAACCTGGTTTTATAAATAAAAGGTGTTTTCTTTGTCTTTTACATTATGCATTTACTTGCGAATGTATACAGAAAAAAAATACACATCTGTATATATATACACACACACACACATCATGCTCTGCATAATGGTCCTTTCTCCTACCATCAGTTGAATCAAAATCTTCTTTGCATTACACATCTGATGTGTTTCTTTTCACTCTGCGTCTTTTACTTCAGCTTCCACATCTACAACTGCTGTGGAATACCCCTTCCCTGCACCAATATCACACCTTTTTGTGTCAACTTCAGTGGTTTTTACACAACTCCTGAACTGAAAAAGCACGAGAAGAAAGAACCTTTCTTGGATGTTGAAGAGAACCCGTTTAGGTCTTGTCCGAATCTTGTGGTCTGGTTAGAGAATTTTACTGGTTCCTTCACAAACTTGTTGCCCACCACTGCACTTGATGGGAACACTATGGTAAAATGCCTTTTTAACTTCTATGAAAATGAAAACTTGGTTCTTTACCTGAGAATGGCTGGGTGCAGAAGGGGCAAAGTTGTACCTCATCATCCAATGTTGACCTGCAAACATTTCAAGTTTTTTTCCCCAGTCAGACAGCATGATTCCGGCAACCAAAAGGACGATAGATTTATCCTTACTTGAAAATCTGAAACTCGTTTCCGCAATTCGGGCACTGCATAAGGGAAAGAGAAAAAGAAAAAGAAAGCATTAGTCAGATGGTAAGAGAGGAGGAGACTACCACTTGCTCAGGCCAATACAGTATCTTAAGCATCGTTATGACAACTTGGGAAGGCTAACTCATATTACAGCTACAAGCATTTGTCAAAACCTTGGATCATGTAAGAGGTTTTTGAGATTCTATCCAAACAATGTAACCCGTTCTGGAAAACAAGATCAAAGTTCTGAAAGAATCCATCTTTATGACCTGATCCTAGGGAACATACTAAGCTAATTGAATTTCACCATCATATGCGGCGCCAAATAATCTCTACCAGTTTCTATCTCAAGTGAGGGTTGTTAACCCAAGAAACAGGAGGCTGTCTGAAACTTACACTGCTCTGGACAATATCTCGTCCTGCCCACCATAGCAAAGCGCCCAATCCCACAATAGGCACGAGCACCACAATGAGCTGCAGATACAAAAAACCCATGTCGTAAACATCAATTATCAAATCCGCATGAATTAGAATGAGGGCATTTGAGATGTCAGAACGCCATTTCCAGCAAAGGGAAGCATCCCAAGGGCCGCGCGGGTTCGTGACAGAGTGTCGGTAATCTATGCAACTACAGCGAGATACCCACCGAAAGATTCTCCATCTTCAGCACAAACTGACTCATACACCACTGCTTCAACTCGATGTTACCGAGCAAACAAGATATAGCTACTTTTTTTTTTTTTGCTGAAAATCTAACCTTACATGCAAATTAATCTCCTAATCCCAGGGTAAATCAAGTTCTGAGAGATATCTGCAAAGTTAAAGAGAGGGAGAAACATTTACCCAGACGGAGACAATAGCATCAAGAACCCAACCAAGTTGGCCGCTCATGGTAAGATACGTCAATCCGACAGCCAGAGCAAGATTTCCCAATACCCTTGCATTGCCGCTGTTATCCCCACCGCCGCCGCCGCCGCCGCCGTTAAACCCTAAACCCCGGTTAAACCTCGCTGTAATTATCCGTTTCTTAAAATTTCCTCCTCTTTCGCTCACCAGAAAACCTATTTCTCCATGACCCACCAATCCTCGTCTCCGCTCCATCAAGGAAGCTCCCCACCTGGACTTGCTATGGAGCAGAGTAGGACGGAAATAGTCTAACTTCGCGTGGAATTTGTAACTGGGTTCCTTACAGAAACCATTGAACATGGAGAAGTTGCAGATGATTATCTGCGGAATCGAAGCCATCTCCGAAAGCATTCCAATACAAACCCGAAGGATTTTTTATGGCGAAAATAGAACCATCTGATTTGATTCGTTGAGATGATCATGATGTCAAACAAAATACATGTTTTTAAATGTGAATGTTCCATCGTCGCGGGGATAGCTCAGTTGGGAGAGCGTCAGACTGAAGATCTGAAGGTCGCGTGTTCGATCCACGCTCACCGCATTTTCTTTTGTCCAATCGATAACTAGATTTACTATTTTACCCTTTCCACCATCACATGGTTCGAGAACTCCCCCAATAATCAAATGGAATGCTTCAATGAATCATCAATTATTATTATTATTATTGGTGCTTTTACTTCGGCTGCTCATGTGTAGAGATGGTAGTGTCACCACGAAGTTCGCCTAAATGCATTCATCAATGTAGCCCCCCATCTTAAGAAAGCTTTTGACTTTTATCCCCTATAAAATATAAATGCGAATTTTGCACCCTCATCTTCTCCTGCCCAGAAAAATAAAAAAGGGGGATGGCAATCTCTAAACCCTATCCGCTACTGATATTTCTCCTGGCTATGGCGTCGCGTTTCTTGGAAGCCAAGGCGGGTGGGGTCTTCTGCAGCAATCCCTACGAGCGCTGCTACCAAAAGTACATTGACTGTCCGGACGAATGCCCCACCACTGGCGCCACCAACTCCAAGAACAAAGTCTGCTATGTCGATTGCGATTATCCCCTCTGCAACTCCCAGTGTCGCTGTGAGATTTTCTACTTTCGTTGATAATGTTCGAATGAGCTCGCTTGTTTCTCGTCTTGACCGCTCCTGTCTTGTGTTTTTAGTTCGCCAGCCAAACTGCTACCACCCTGGATCCGCCTGCCATGACCCCAGGTTCATTGGCGGGGGCGGGGTTCGAATGAGCTCGCTTGTTTCTCGTCTTGACCGCTCCTGTCTTGTGTTTTTAGTTCGCCAGCCAAACTGCTACCACCCTGGATCCGCCTGCCATGACCCCAGGTTCATTGGCGGCGACGGCATCATTTTCTACTTCCACGGCAAGAGCAACGAGCATTTCTCCCTCGTCTCGGATTCCCATCTTCAGATCAATGCCAGATTCACCGGACATAGACCTGCTGGTAGAGCCAGAGACTTCACCTGGATCCAGGCCCTTGGGATCCTCTTCGGCTCCCACGAGTTCTCTCTCGAGGCTGCGAAAACCGCCACCTGGGACAGCAACTTCGAACATCTCAAGCTCGTCTATGACGGGCGAGATTTGGATCTCCCGGGGGGAACTCTCTCCACCTGGTAACGAACTCGACAACTCAGACCTTGTTCCTCGTCACTCGCTTTTCTTGTGTATTGAGTCTTGAGCTCTATGTTTTGGTCAGGTACTCGCCCGACAAGGCCATAAAGGCCGAGAGAGTTGCGGAGAGGAACAGCGTGACGGTGATGATCAAGGACAAAGCCGAGATCATGGTCAAGGTTGTTCCCGTGACAAAGGAAGACGACAGGATCCATGGCTACAGGGTACCTGCAGATGACTGTTTTGCCCATTTCGAGGTTCAGTTCAGGTTCTTCAAGCTGTCCCCCGAGGTGGACGGAGTCTTGGGACGTACTTACAGGCCCGATTTCAAGAACCCGGCTAAACCAGGAGTCGCCATGCCTGTCCTGGGCGGGGAGGATAGCTTCAGGACCTCCTCTCTCCTCTCTACTGACTGCAAGACTTGCCTTTTCTCCGGACCTATGGCTTCTTCGGGTGGTATCATCAAGTCGGGTATCGGGTATGGAACCTTGGATTGCACCCGCGGGGCGTCCTCTGGATACGGAATCATCTGCAGGAGATGATCCTGCAGCTTTCTAACGAAGGGGCAGAAATTTCTGCAGAGAATCCTAGTACTATCAAGTGTAAATCTTGTGTTCGTTATGTTATGGATGTTGTAATGTGATTCTATAGGCACTGATGCGAATGTTCTTGAACGCAGCAGACGAGGAGGAACTCTGGGTCTTGAATCGGAAACATTATATTACTAATACGAAAAACTAAGATTCATGATTTGAAGGTTGAAATGTACGAAAAATGGAAAGGGGGAGGGAAAAGAAAAATATGAATGGAGATGTAATTAAATCAATGCGAAGAACATTAATGTATAAATATTATATAAAAGAAAATCAGCAGCTCATGTTTGCCATTGTTTAGCCTAAGGGAAAGAACCCTTTCGGACATCAAGTATTTGACTTTTAAGCTGCGGGTTCAGACTGCAAATTGGATTCTGCCGACAAAATATGTAATTTTGTTTTCGTCAATTTTAAAGTATAACAAGAAAATAATGGCCTCCCTCTCACATTTTATTATATATATGTACACGCACACACATATATGATATATGTATATATATCATCTCTTGCCAAAAGGACACCAGATTTTGTGATTTTTTTTTCGTTTTTTAAAACGCAATCACTTTTTTTTCTTTCATATATTCTGTTTTATTTTAGAAACAATAACGAGATATATACTCGAAATTTGTGTTTCTAAAATAAGGGTCTATTACAAAACTCTGGATTAAAATTTCGTTACAAATTCTAAGAAATTTCGGTCCAAAATGTTTGAATATCTTTATTTTTACTTAGAAAAAGAAACGTGAGAGTTTGGCAATAAAATGAACGATTGCGGAGTTTGATATTCTATTAACACAAATAAAGTGTATAGTTGATTTAAAAACAGATTAGTTAAAGTAACAGCCAATGAGAAGCCAAGACAAAAGCATTTAGTTAATAAAAATCGTATGTCTTTGTCGTTTAGTGGAATTAAGATTAGATCTTTTTGCCAAACTTTTTATATTCTTTTCAATCAAGTAAATTTGGCACAATTGTAACTGAATAATAAAAATTTATTTCGTATAAATAATTATATTTCTCGTAATATTGTTCATATATAAACATAACATTTGCATATATTGATTTTACTACTCGTGCGGTGCGTGTAAACTTGATTCAAGTTAAAATACTTGTTTTTTTTTTATAACAAATTTACTTACAAATGCGAATCTAATAATGATTTTTTTATTTAGTTTTTATATAAATAAGGTAATGAAGTTTCATGTGACTTAGAAAGGGTTCAGAAGGGTCAAGAGAACATCGCATGTGCATGTGTCGTACTTCTTCAATTCACACCACAATTCCATATTTTTCTTTGGATAATAATAACCTATTAAATTCAATATTTTGGAGATAAACCATATCCGTTTTGTATTTCTAATATTTGAAAATATATAATTTTACATCGCAATATGTTTGCAAACAATCCAAATTTATGGTTTTATTTTATTTAATTCTCAATTTTATTTTTATTTTTTTTATAACATGTGTACTAGTACACTTATATTTACGTCATAACAAAAATAACGCCATGAAAAAATGTATATTAGTTATTGAGTATTGTGATGGATGAATAAAGAGAAAACGAAATTAATGATTCTATTTTATTTAGTCAATTATTGAAAAAAATAGTTTGTATATATATGAAACAGAGGAAATATATAAATTTGGATGCTAACTATACAAAAAAATATTGTCATATTAAATTAGTGAAGGAAAAAATGTTGTAGTTACAATAATGCTATTACCTCTTCTAAATATGAAATTTCTTCACGTTGAAAATAACAAATATTTGAACCATTACCATATATCGGAAATTTCCGAAAAAGTACAATGTTGATATAGGGATTAGGGA